CATACACACAAAGAAATCAAACCATAAATGTCCAGAAATGAAGTTATTTGTAATAATGTGCAACAGCACTGAAATAACCCAGTCAACCCATGAACGTTGTTCAACAAACAACATGAGTCACATGTTGTTTGTTGATCTCTTAACTTATTGACATTCCACAGCTGTATTTGGGTGACACACATATGAACAAAATGTGTGACAGTTTTCACCCTCAGCTGTCAMCATTAATGTTRATCAATAACATGTATTGACCTCAGTTAGTGCTTCTAAATTTAGCCTATAAATTTGGCAAGTGCTAATCCACTAAAAAATTCTAAAATTTGCAAAAGCCCTAAAGCAGTGGTGTCCAAAGTCAGTCCTCGAGGGCCGTTGTCCTGCATGTTTTAGGTGCTGCCCTGGTTCAACACAGCTGAACCTAAGGAGTGCTTAATTAGCGGGCCTCTGCAGACCTTTATGGCAAATTGAGAAGTTAAATCATCTATTTGAATCAGCTGTGTTGAAGCAGGGACAAATCTAAAACTTGTGTTGTGATGTAAAGGTGTTTACATCAAACACTGTGTTGTTCGATGTAATGAGCTGTTGATTTGATTCAATCATAAATGTCACACAATGAACACACATGTACACAATGACAGAGGCCAAAACTTCATTGCCCTCTTTGCATTTGGTGGATGATGATGATGATGATGATGATGATGATGATGATGATGATGATGATGATGATGATGATGATGATGATGATGAGTTGGTCATGGCTCAGTTCTGAACAGACAAGATGCTAAAACGACACGGAGCAATGAGGAAAACATCAAGACACAATCTAAGAGCTCTTTCATCATCTGAGATTTAATTCAGGAGACGGAGTCCACCACACCCTCCCTCTCCTCCCCCTCGCCTCCCCCCAGGATTATCTGGGTGCTTCGCTCTGTCATGTCAGCACCAGGAAGGGGATGCTAATGAGAGAGAGTGTTAGCTTTCAGGGTTTGTTCAGCAGAGACTGGGTGTCACTTCATGGCAGCTCTGCTCTTAATGTTTCATGAGTTAATTTTAGTGGCTGTGACAGGAGAGAGGATTAGCAACAGGTGTTATAGGTGCTGATAGGAAACCAAGGTGTGCCTTCAGAAGAAAGCATGTTGCCTAAAAAATGTTTTTATATGCTGACTCAGCATTCACATGGTAATAACCAGATCAGCCATTCTGACATCAAAATATTAAATTGTGTGCCTTTATTTTTATTATGAACGACTGTAGAAAATAGAAATTATTTTAATTTTATTTACATTGAGATTTATCAGTTCCTTTAAGTCATGTTCTCTGAAATCTCCTTCAGCTGTTTGATTTTTTTCTTATTGTTTTTCCAGTTGTTTTTCTGTTTTTAAGAATTCACAAACTTAAGCTTTTAGTTAGCTTAAACTAGATTTTACATAAGATTTTACTAAATAAGCCTTTAGATAACATTTTTCTTACCTTAGCATCTAGCTATGGTTTTCTTGATTTTAGCTTTTGCAGCTGTTTTGCTAAATTTAGCTTTTTGTTTAGATAATTTTGGCTTTTAGTTAGGATTTTTCAGATTTTGGCTTCTGGTGTATTAAACATTTGTTCTTCTAAATTTTGGCAAAGTCATTCAGCACAGAGTTTATTTTTCACAATAAGTAAATTTAAAGTTTTTTTTCTTGTGATTCTCAAATTCTTTCAGACTTTTTTTTCAGTGTACGTCTAAACTTTGTCAATCGTCTGTTTAGGATCAAAGAGTTTTTAGATTTGCATATTCGCAGTGGTGGGCAGCGCTGATTTAAAAATTAGCTCCGCAATTTCTAAAGCGCTTATGAAAAAGTTTAGGTCCGCAACTTCAAAACCACTTATTGCATAGAAATATTAGCGGAAGCTAATTCTGAAACGCGGGTTCAATTTTACACTTTCTAGCTGTCTAAAATTCAATGCTGCCCACTAGTGGTGTTTGAACCCTGGTACAGCTCGTTTTACAGCTGCCGAATGCTGGGGGTCTGATTNAAAATTAAAAACTTGTTGAGGCTGGCTCGGCTGAATCTTAAAAAAGTTGCTGAGGATTGCTATTTCGGCTGATTCTTTGTCTTTTTTCTTTTGTTTGTTGTAGATTTTTCATTAAAGAAGCACCAATAAAGTAATTTTAAAACACTGTTTATTGGAAAACTGAAGCGATACATGCTGGGTACATTTGTGACGGGAAATGAAAGCACGGAGAACAGGAAACTAGTATTTTCCTTTCAAAATAAGAGCTTGGATTTTAGTTTTCCATGTTTCCATTGGATTCCAGTTCACCTGAAACTCATCAGACTGAAGAAGTCTCTTGGAGGAGAGACGAAACATTTTTCACTAAAGAAGAACCCATCCAGAGGACTTACTTGTCTTTTCTTTTTGATTTTATGCATCAGAACGTTTTCCATGTAGTTGCAGCTGCTCCAGTTGAACACTAGGTGTCAGTCTTCATCAGCATAAGTCTATAAACCGTTGCTTCGACCAATTACGTCAAGTATTGAGCTCCAGCGTTTAAACTTTATTTTTTTTAAAAAAGGGAGCTCCGATTGTAAAGTAAAACAAATCAATACATACAAAATTTTAGTATGGATTATAAATGTTTACTGTGTTTTTGCTGGCAAGGGGAGTTCTAACGTYGCCTTCCTGCTACATTAGCGTAAGCATAAGCAGACACAAAGCATTGGGGGAAATGTCTGTAAAATGTGGATCCCTGCTGGCTACTGAATATTGTCTTTTGCACTGCGTTTATTTTAAATTAACAGAAGCCATATGAGTAATTTAGATTGCTGCCAGCAGAAATACTTTGCAAAGCTGACCTACTAAAATGAGAACCGACTGAGCCGTCACCCAAAGCGACAGTCAGGAATGACGTATACCTTCCCAAAAATAATATTTAACCGGGAGGGCAGGTGTTGAATGGATCACATGTGTTGAGTCCTGACAGCAATTCCTTCTGCTGTTCAAAATAATGATGAATGGTAGATAATTAGTTATTAGTGGAACTGCAATTTAAATTTAAAAAGCGTAAATTCTCTTATGGATTATAAAAATTAGTAAGACCGCTAAAGCATAAACAAAATGTTTAGGTCTGCAATTAGCGTATGTGCACTTTAGTGGACTGGTGCCCACCACTGCATATTCGAATTGTAACAACCTGCTTCAGACATGGTCGGTAATTAAACAATATCAAAAACAAAAATAATACGTTCTGCCTCCTATTTGACACAAATATTATTTTGACATCTCTGACTTGGCAAAGTTTTAAACCAATTTTATTTTCACTTTCATAGTCCTATCTTCAACTGCATGTAGTTTAAACTGTCTTGAGTGTGCATAGAAATGTTTTTTACCAGCTTCTAACCAAGATTCTGACATTTCTGTAAATGCCAAACATGTTTATGTCTAACTAAAAGAACTTTGAGTAATTAAAGTAGAAAACAAGGGATTTGAGCTTAAGAGATGAATGAACCAATTGGCGAGCTGAACTTTGGTCAGTCTGTTGAATAGCCCTGATTTAGGGTCTGTGTGCATTCATTAGGGTTATTGCCCTGCTGTAAAAACTGTTCCTGAGTCTGTCTGTGATTTCAACACCCTGAATCTCCTGCCAGTGGGCAGCAGTTCAAACACCCGGTGTCCWGGGTGTGTTTTGTCTTTTAGGATGTCGTGTGCCCTCTCGAGACAGCAGGTTTTGTAGAGGTTTTCCAGGGATGGGAGTGTGTCGCCAATGATTTTCTGGGCAATGATGAAAACCTTTTATAAAGCCTTCTTGTGCGCCATGGTGCTGTTTAAAAACCACACAGAGATACAGCAAGAGAGCATGCTCTCAACAGAGCAACGATAAATGGTGATCAGCAGCTCCTTCCTTCGTTTAATCCTCCTAAGGACCCTAAAAAGATGGAGATGTTGCTGATCCTTCCTCACTACGGATATGGTGTTTGAGCTCCAATGGAGATCTTCATTCAGTTGCACGGCCAGAAACCTAAAGCTGGCACCCTCTCCACACACTCCCCCCTGAGGTGAAGTTGCTGCAGGTCACAGATCAGCAGGTTAAGTTTTATCGATGTGCCTGGCCGGACCTCAAACTGGAATTACTCTAACAGACACATAAAACATGTTGAAGTCATGACATGACCTCATGTTCAGATGCCACCCATCCCTTAGCCCCGCCCACTGAGAAGAGGAAGTCATGAAAGTTCATCTCAGACAGAAAACTTTAAATTGTGTCAGATAACAAATAATAAGTAGACATTACCTTTTGTATAAAATGAGTTCCTGAAAACGGGTCAACGTTTGGGTTTGGTAATTTTACAGATTTCATCCAACCTGCACCAAAATGCTCAGGAATAACTTGTTACAACAAACAAACAAACACAAACATTGTGAGCAGTGTTCAAGCTCACCAAACACTGCAGGAAAATCTTGAGTACTGTTAAATCAAACAGGAAGTCGGACATTTTGAATTTCAGTCATGATTTTGATGGTGGTGATGGTATGTGCGTTTATACACCTTTAATTTTCTTTTTTCTCACTCCTCACTCTTTCATCCTTACTCGTAATTTTCTGCCTTTGCTGTTTTCTCCTTATTCCACTTTACATTCATTTTAATTTAATTTCTCTCGTTTTCTCCTTTCTGTTTCCTCTTCTGTCCTCCGTTCTGTTCATCACCTGCTGCTGGAGGAAGACAAGAACGATTTTGTCCTTTCTGTTTGTGCTTTCATGTSCCTGTGTTCATCTACAGCTGACTCTCTCTCACAGTCAGTAAAATGAAACATGGCTGCTGCAGCTGATCCAAACTAACCAACACACCAGTGGTTAGAACTTCAACAGTTTTTACAAACCATGAACTAAAACTCTTTGTATTTGCAGTTTAGTGTTTTTACATCTAATACAAGCTGAAGCTTACAACCAAAACTCCAAAACAACATTTGGGTCAAAGTAACAAAACCTAAAGCAAACTCTGATATTTAAATCTTTGTCCCCCTCAGGGAGTGGTGGCTGCAGAGAGGACCAGAGGGGGTCAGCTCCTCGAAGAGCCAAAGATGTTGCCTTTCCGAGCMAATACCTTCAGCCTCCAGGTGTCCATCCAGGATGTCCCCCAGTTCCTGTGGAGCATCAAACCCTTTACCACATGTCAGGTAACCACGACCACCTTACCTGGTCCTGCTGGTTTGTCCTGCCGGCAGTCAGACAGTCGTTTTTCTAAACTCTAAAGCACAAAAACACCTTCCCACTGAGGTCTCACAACACTCCCTTTCTTTGAACATTTACCTCTGCTGAGCTATAAAGAGCAATAACACATTAACTAACAGTGCAGCAGGTGAACAACAGAAATCAAAATAAAATAAGAAAGAGGGAGGAGCTTCCTACTCAAGTGGAGGTGTCTCATTAAATGAGGGACGACCTGTCGTCTATGATGCCATCAGCACCTGACAACAGAACTGTTTCATACCTGCTGCTTCTGAGGTCGTATTCACACCTGATAATTTGCTCTGCTTTAAATGAACCAGAGTTTGTTTCCAGCGTTGCTCCGGACCTTTTCTGCAGGTGTGAATACACTCATGCGAACTCTGGTGCGGATCAAACAACCGGACCGAGACCTGCTTTTTGAGGTGGTCTCGGTTGTTTCCAAATGAACTCTGGTGCTGTTCACTTCAGTTTGCTTCTGGTGTGAATACAGACCGGACTCTAACCAAACCAACTGTATAAAACAAGAGCCTTTTTGGACTTCACAGGCCACCGTTGCTGAGCTAAATAAACTGAAATTCAAGATTCAGGTAGTTTAATTGTCAATGCTTATGTGCAAAACATACACAGAATTGAAATTGCAAACTCTCCTTCCCAGTTACAACGATAAACAAGTAATCAGCTGAAATTGCACAATCCAATAACGTTGTAAATAAACAAAAAAGTGACACAACATGGACACAGATAGGGATGAATGAAGGATGAAGGATGAAAACATGAAATGGATGGGTACTCAGTASTGTAAAAATAGAGATCTTTATACGAAAAAAAAATTGAATTTGCAACTATAGTAGAATTGGAGCTTAATGCTGATAAAAGTAAAGTAAGGATGCATATTGAGTGAAAAAGTGATGTATGCATACAATTCTCACAGATGACGGAGAGGGGAGGGGGTGGTGGAGGGTATGACGGTAGTACTTTATGTGCAAATGTCACGCACTTGCAAAATGTCCAGTACTGTATCAAACAGAGGAGGGTTAGTGTGCTYGAGTACAGTGTGCTGCRGGCAGGATGAGGAGGGGTGGGGAAGCAGGGAGTGAGTTGAGCATTCTTATAGCCTGGTGGATGGAGCTGTCCCTCAGTCTACTGGTCCTGGCCTGGAGACTCTGCAGTCTCCTCCCTGATGGCAGCAGGCTGAAGAAGCTGTGCAGTGGGTGGGTAGCCTCTCTCGCCAGGCAGAGGGCTTTCTGTGTTAGGCGGGTGCTGTACAAGTTCTGAAGGGAGGGGAGAGGTGGTGTCAACAATMTTCTCAGCTGCTCTTACAATGCGCTGGAGGGTCCTGCGGCAGGCTACTGTGCAGGCCCCATACCACACGGTGGAACAACTGGTCAGGATGCTCCGATGGCCCCTCTGTAGAAGGTGTTTAAGATTGGGGTGGGGGCACCAGCTCTTCTTAGTTTGCGGAGAAAATAGAGTCGCTGATTTGCCTTCCTGGACAGTGCTGCTGAGTTGGTGGACCAGGAGAGATCCTCTGTGACGTGCACACCCAGGAATTTCGTACTGCTCACCCGCTCCACAGCAGTGCCATTGATGGACAGAGGACTGTGCTGTCCGCAGGATCTCCTGTAGTCCACCACAATCTCCTTGGTCTTCTCAGCATTCAGAGAGAGGTTGTTTTGTTTGCACCATGAGGCCAGACGACTAACTTCGCTCCTGTAGTGTGACTCCTTGTTGTTGCTGATGAGACTCACCACCGTCGTGTCATCCGCAAACTTGATGAAGATGTTGAAGGAGTGTACTGGTGTGCAGTCATGGGTTAGCAAAGTGAACAGGAGGGGACTTAGCACACATCCTTGGGGTGCTCCTGTGTTCAGTATGGYGGTGTTGGATGTGTTGTTGCCAGCCCGCACTGCCTGTGGTCTTCCAGTGAGAAAGTCTAGTAGCCAGTTGCACAGTGATGTGCTCAGCCCCAGACTGTCCAGTTTGTGAATGAGTTGTTGAGGAWTGATTGTGTTGAATGCTGAKCTGAAGTCAATAAACAGCATTCTGACGTAAGTGTTGTTCTTGTCCAGATGTGTAAGGGCCGAGTGGAGAGCAGAGGAGATGGCATCCTCAGTCGAGCGATTTGATYGATATACAAACTGGTAGGGGTCCAGGGAAGGGGGGGAGGGATGACCTGATGTGATGCATGACCAGCCRTTCAAAGCACTTCATGAGGATGGAGGTGAGTGCGACCGGGCGGTAGTCGTTAAAACACGATGGTGACGCCTTCTTTGGGACTGGGATTATGTTGATGGTTTTGAAGCATGTGGGAACCACAGCCTGGCTCAGAGAGATGTTAAAAATGTCTGTAWAAACCTCTGCGAGTTCCMAGGCACAGTCCTTAAGCACACGACCAGGAATGTTATCAGGACCCRGAGCTTTCCGAGCATTGAGCTGGTTGAATGTTCTCCTCACGCTGGCCGGGGACAGCRTCAGCACCTGGTCACCAGGAGGAGGGATGGATTTCTGGGGGGATGTGTTGTTGAGTGGCTCGAACCTAGCGAAGAATCCGTTCAGGCCATTCAGCAGAGAGATGGAGCTGTCACACATCTGCGGGGGGAGGTTTGTAGCCTGTTATGGACTGAATTCCCTGCCACAGGTGTCTCTGCTGTCACTGAAGCGCTGGGATATCTTCTTAGAGTATTGYCTCTTAGCTTTTTTGATGCCACAGGACAGATTGGCCCATRCTGTCTTCAAACCTGACCAGTCTCCAACTTTGAAGGCATCATTTCTAGTCTTCAGGAGCCTGTGGACCTCTCCTGTCAGCCAAGGCTTCTGATTAACCCGAACAGTGATGGTTTTGAGGATAGTTACATCATCAATGCACTTGGTGATGTAGGCGTWAACAGTTTCTGTATACTCCTGGCAAGGACGTGCACAGATAGACGTCAGGTGGTGCTTGAGCACCTGCCCTTTTCCCTCCAGACCATCAAATGCCCCTGTTGAACCCGCCTTTTTTTAATGCTCCATCTGTCGCCCTTGGTTGCACTTCTTATTAAGTGTACAACTATAATGGCAACAGTATTAATATTATTAATAATAATGTTGCCCTCACACCCTGCCTTCACCACACACAAGTGCCGTGCGCGCCCGCAGCTCCTGTGTGCTGTCCCTCGGTKAAYGCRCTGCGCGCTCKGACAGGAGGAGAGCTGCTGAARCAGCTCCTCTCTCTTCTCTCATCCACACAACAGAGGACAGTTATAACCAGCAGGTAATTTACCTGCAGCTCCAGGCAAACTGTTTGGCTGCAGTTTACAACCATTAGAAAATGCCTCCTTATTTCTCTCTCTGCCTTCAATGCAGGAGGAGGAGAGAAGAGAAAAGGGCATAACAAGGCAAAGATGCAGCGGCTGCCAATCAAACGCGCAGCAGCGTCTTCTGCATGTTAAAAATAAATATCTAAACACGTGAAAGACATTTGATTTTATTTATGCAGAATGTGATGGAAACTATGTCAAAATATTCAGCAAATAATAACTGGAAAATAGGTGAGGAAAGTGAAAGATGATTCTCAGAGAGAAAATTGCCAAACTCTTTTTTTCCTGAAGGGAAACACACCGTGAAGCAACTGTCTGTAAAAGAGATTCACACAAGRAACTTACAGTTCAGAAAGCTGCCTGTCAGTCTGTGGACAGACAACAGCACAGATCATCTGACCTGCTTATGGTTTTGTTTTGTTTTTTATCATGATAAAAAATAAACTTAAATATTTTTAACCAAAGCATTTTTTGATAAATTTTAATAAAAATATGTATTTTTTCTTAAAAACCTTTAAAAAACATTGTTGTGTAA